CCCCAAAACCCCAAAACCCCAAAACCCCAAAACCCCTTTTAATCTCACTATGATTGAAGGTTTTAACAACTAAATCTATGACTAAAGAACATATTCAGAGAACGATTGTTTTGCTCCTCTCTTCTTATTGGTTTGACGCTAAATTTGCCTATATCCTTCCTGAAACTAGTCTGTGGGATACTAGAAGTAATACCTGGAGAAAGTACCTGTCAATCATATTCTTTGAAAAATCTGATGAGGCTAGTTTTACACCTAAAAGTTTCACCTTATTCCTGGCCAACTGGGAATTCATAACTTGTCCAGGGTAAGATATTTTGTTCGGGCAAATGTTCTTGACTTTTTGAAAGAGATTTTTACTCTTCAAATTTGAAATCGCCAACTTGTGCTTTCCCACCGAATCTTCATAATTAGATTTGACATTAAAGAACGGCAATTTGTTATCGTGTCTGGTGCCTGAACTATTCTTTCGGTTGTCTCGAGGTCCTCTCTTGAGATTTTGACTAAAGAATTACAAGTATGTTTACCTTGGAATAAAATCATAGTCATTTGAGCTATTTAGGTCCATTGGCTGAATACTACCACTTCAAACATCCCTGTTCTTGATTTTCAATGAAGTAGACTTTTTAATAAACAAATCAGTTGAAAATTTGCTACAGAAATCAGCACTTGAGTTGATAAATCAAAGATCTTTCCCTTGCTTAGTTAAAGAATTTAATCGTCCATTTTTAAATCCTTTTACTCTTCGATGGGTCTGAACACTTCGAAGTCTTACACCGGATCTAGAAATAGCTGAAAAGATTACTTAGCTGGTATAGGGGAACTCTCAAGGTCGAACTGACCTCATTTCCTCGTCTGTGGTCTCGCTGTGTTATTTTATCCATCCCAATCCTTCCGATGGGAAGGAAACTTTAATCTTCTTCTTATATTTCTCAATGAATCTTGTTGAATTCAGAGGTTTTATTTTACTCTATAAAAGTTAGATGCCCCTAAAATTAAAAATAAAAGCAGTAACCAAATATTTAGAACTGCCTATTTAAGGAGGAAACTCCTGAAGTTTTAGTAGCATGCTCTTAAGTTTTTTATGGGGTATGCTATGCCATATAGAAGCTTATTACATGACATACCCACAGCATGGGTAGGTTCCTACTGAAATACCAAATACTTTACACAGACCATGAAAGAATTCGAACCAAATATTGTGAGAAAAGTTTTGTATCAATTTAGATGATGACTCTACTAACTTATGCATTAGAGAAATAATGTAGGCTAATTATAATAGTAGCCAGAAATCGTTACAACCTTATTTATTGTAGTCCTTAATTTTCACTTTATGATGCCCTCCAAGATTTTGCTTATTTGAAGCCGGGCTTTCTAAAGAATTTTCCCAGCTTAAACAAAGAAAATATGAGAAATTACGAATCAAGAAATCAGTACGAATTTGGTTCTGATTTAGATATCTATAATAGGGCTGTATTTCAGAGTTTGGGATTTCTAAAATTTTGAGGTACTCCAAATTTACAAAATTTAATTACTACTTTAGTTGTTGGAGGAGATTTCCAGGGATGCAAAAAGAACTGCATATAGACTAGGAAATATTGGATAGTTATTATATAAAGACAAGTACCTTTGGTAATGTGAGAATATGATTTGATTCTGATTTCATTTGTAAATTGTTCATTATTTAATAATTTTTAAGGGGTTTTGGGGTTTTGGGGTTTTGGGGTTTTGGGG